TCCTGAATCTGTCAGCGGCTGCACGCCTGGCTCGCCTCCAGCCAACGAACATCACACTTCATCCCGAAACCTATTCTCTCAGTCTCAAACAGTAGTAACCTGCCTTATCTATGAGGACTGATTGACATCTTTATTAGAGGTCACGCAGGTCCCATTTCAATGAATGAGTTCATCCGTTTGTTTTGGAAAGTTAAGATAAGAATGTATTGTGCTCTCGAACCACGCGAAAGATGTGGAGGATAAGATATACCAGATACTGTAGGTGTGACGGAGATAAAAAGAAAAAGGCTTACAGGTTTAACGAGTGCTTCACCTGCAAATCTCATTGTTATTCTTTGGTGATGAAAAGGGAGTTTTGAGAGGGAAGGCAGAGGATCAAACCTGAATACTCCTCTGCACATGTTCTGTCACGTTCACACAGTGTGTCTCCCTGTGTCCATCTGGAATGTGCCTCTAATTATGCTCCTCTCTTCCTTTTTCCTTGTGTGTGTGTGTGTGTGTGTGTGTGTGTGTGTGTGTGTGTGTGTGTGTGTGTGTGTGTGTGTGTGTGTGTGTGTGTGTGTGATGCCAAACCACCCAGAGAGATCCAAGGAAAAAACAGGACAAACAAAACATCGCTTGCATCGCCACAGAAAAAGGAAGCATGGATTGAAAGCTGTCTGCAAGTTCTGTGTCTTACGTAGCTGAAGGGAAATCATGTCAGCCACACACACCTGGGCCTGTTTCCTCCTCTGTCTCAGCTTTGCCTCTCCGGACAAAACCCCAGGTAGGAGACAAACGCCTCTTTGTCCAGCGGTTTCTGTAAGCAGGGTTCACAGGCATTAAACAGGTCATTTTACAAAACCTGATACTCACGTTTGTAGAAGAAAATGCAAAAAATCTCTACCTAAAAGTTGTCTGAAAACTGTCCTAAATGACGCAAACTTTTTCCCGACATGAAATCGGGTGGTGGAACAATATACTTCCATCCTGAGTTAATACCTGACGCCAGGTCAGGTATTAACTCAGGATGGAAGTATATTGTCCACCACAGAAAGCGGAACAGCAGTGTAACAGCTGGGATTCAAGGAAAAGCCTGTCTGGTCTTGGTTTTATAGATCTGCTTCACTGCTGAGACATGGAACATAAGGGGGGGGGGGGGGAGGAGGGAAAGATAGACACTTAATGGGGATACAGACTGAAGAAGAACTTGGAACAATTCAGAACATCTGGATCCCTGCAATCTATCTTTATCTTCTACTTCAGTGCCTGTATTTGTGAACATATGTAGCATACGTTTCTAGATTCTGCAGCTATCATCCGTCTCTCATTAAATGTTTCTTTGATACTTTAGATCTGGAAATGCTTGCACAAGAAGGTCAAGAGAAAGACGTGCATATGCATTTTGATACATTTCTCTATCACTAATTACTAAAATATCAATGAGTCATTTGGTTAGGAGAAGGATGCCTTTATCAGCTTTTGTACCTGTAATGTCTTTTGAAGCTGTTTGCTAGCTGTTAGCGCTGAAAGGGTTCACAGAGAGAGAGGGCTGCAAAGTTATCAAGATTGTGCTATCACTGTAATCTCATTTAAAACTATTCCTCTGCTTGATTATCATTTAAATACATAACTAAATTGGATAATGTTTATTCTATTAAATAACGGCGCATTTGAAGTGAGTGTGTCCCATTTCTTTTGGCTATCTTTAAGTATTTCCCGGTTTGCTCGTCGGATTGTTTAAAAGACTTTCCGCAAGGACACAGAATGTCACGTTACCGAGTGACAGGATCTGACTGTCACCTGGCAGGTAAACCGGTGGCTGCTTTGGAGCATCTTGCAGGTGGGAGAGACATTACAAAGCCTTGAGACATGAGGGAAACAGCTGTGAGCATGAGCTGGATGACGTCAAGTCATAACACGGTAGAAGAATGAGGCGTGGAAGGTGCTGAAAGAAGCACTCAGGCAATAAAGTAACAATTAATCAGCCAGTTATTCATCAGCTGTCACGCCAGTAGCTGCCATGCTCTCAACATGTGGCGTACAATACAAACACCAACAATACGGCACTATACCAACAATCTGGTGCCAGTTTTGGCTTTAAGCGTCTTCAAACTCTCGTCCTGAAAAGACCTGTCAGGGACACGAGCGTGGGAATTCGATTTTCAACAGGAATAATCTTGGGTGTTGGTAATAGGCCTAGGTGTTATGTAATCTGACAGCTGGTAAAAAGTGCACTCTAGTCATGAAAGTATGGTGGGACAGGTGGGTCATTCCATGTCAAATAAAATGGAGGTCAATCACACGCTGGATTATTAGAAGATATTTGTAATACCGGTGATTTATTGTTTTCTGTTAATCATGAGTCACTGCACACCTCCGCCCTGGATGTGTGGCAATAAAGGAAAGCCGGGGGTGAATAATTAATGTCACACATCATTATCCCTGTGTGCCATTTTAAAACCACAGAGAGATTAACGACATGAACCGTCACTTTCGTTCTGTGTGTTTTTTTGTTTGGCCTTCTGTATTCCCATTTAAACGTTTTCTTTCATCAGCATCCTAAATGTTACTTAACTACAATATTGATATACTCTGTGCTACTTCTCCTTCTACTATACCATATATCTGAGGCCAATACTGTACTTCACAGCCTTTATCTTGTACAAATATAGTTATGCCAACTTTCTTTTAATATTACCTTATGATATTCGTATATATTCTAGTACAGCCTAATTCTATAGAAATACCCGGTATACAAAGTCTCAGAAAATGTGATTTCCGCTTCCTCTTTTTGTATGTGTGGTGAGAATTATGCGTGCTAAAGGGGGATTTTGGTTTGGGTTGTATGAGCTGTGAGATGTTTTTCATGTAAACTATGATAACAGAGGTTAATTCCTTGAGTTGTAAGCAGAAGGAAATATCTCCACAACGCACAACATGTTTATCAGAGGGGTCAGGGTGATATCAGGGGCTGGGAAATGTATATAGGCCATAATGGACTTTCACTGTAAACAATTTCTTGTAAAAGGGGCCCAGCATGGTCTTTATCAGTACTGTTTGACATTCTCCTCACTCATATAAGAACAAGAATTCAGGGGTGGGATAAGGAAGATAATGTACTTTTGTAAAAGTAGAAGTACCAGAGTATTACAAAAGTACAGCACTTGAAAAAATGTACTTATTATGAATTTGAACTGAGACACACCTTAACTCACCTCGTCTTGTTTCAGATATCATAGTCACGTGCTCGGTGTCTGGAGAGTGCGTGCTTCCCTGCAGCTTCCCGCCGGGCAGCGAGGAGACCATTGAGTGGTTCAAACAGGAAGTGGTGGTCTACAAGTTTGAACGTGAAGAAAAAGATGACAACGACAGCAGCGAGGAGGAGCACTTTAAGCACGAACAGTTCGCGGGCCGTGCGACCATCTTCCCTCACCTGGTGGCGCGCGGTAACGCCACGCTCATCATCAGGAGGAGTGGCCTCAAGGACCGAGGCACGTACAGGTGTCACGTGCACACCTCCAAGAGCGAACACAACGCGAAGGTCATCGTGAAGGTGGAAGGTGAGTTAAAATAGGATGCATAAAACATTCACACCAAACATAGCAGTCTGACACAACAGGAATGTGCAATAATCCGCTTACATTTTAGATATTGGGTATTTAGACATTGGGTATCGTATAAGTGTCTTTTCCCGGTACTTTAATTGCGAAGTACCAAATCAACTATATTCCCGTCAGCATCAGTTACTTTGTGTTCATTAGACAATCAGGGTTGGGTTGTAACGGAATACATGTAACGGCGTTACGTAATCAGAATACAAAAATCAAGTAACTGTATTCAGCTCGCGTTACATTTGAAAAACGAGTAATCTGATTACAGTTACTTTCGTAAACCTGAAGTGAATACATTTTGGATTACTTATTGGAATTATTGGTGGAAAGATTTCCTCACAACATGTAATATTCATTACTAAAGGTACAGCCGAATCATCACAGCCCACAAAACCTATTACCGCCGCAGATGGACCAAAAAAGCGTTTGAAAAAAAATCGCGGGTCCGCTCAGTGAAACGATAACAACGAAACATGGAGGAACACAAGTCTGCGTTTAAATCGCGTGTGTGTGGTTAAAACACATCAGCCTGCGGTCGCTCTTTCTTTAGCCTTACTAATGATTATTTCTGAAGGTAAACACAGCGAAGGCGGTGCGTGAAAGGCACTGCGTGCTCGTCTTCTCAGAGGCTGAGTTAACCCTCCCGCGGCCTCCTGGTGCTGCAGAGATTTCATGAAGTGAAGGAGGTGTTCCTTCTATAAAACAGCTGTGGGCAGCAGATACTGTGAGAGTCACGGACATGAATTCATAGATCAAGACAGACTGGTGCACACACTCTCCTGTTTTGCCGATCCGGTGCTTAAACAAATATAGCTCTACACCCCTGGCCGTAATGTCCTTAAAATGAAGTCCGAGTTTGACATTTTAATTCATGTCCTGCCAACACTGGCAGGACAGAAGGCGACACGCTCGTTCTAAGCCGTGTCCCTCACTCCTCACATCCCAAGCTGCATCCCCAAAAAGTTAATTATGTTGTTACATCGTTTCAGATGTTATGTTTCAGTTGTGCTCTTGATAAGCCATTAAAACAGTAAAAACACATTCCTTTTGCTTTTTGTGTCTCCTGTTCACCAACACATCCATCTGTGATGGAAAAAGAAAGTAATCCAAAAGTAATCTAAAAGTAATCTGATTACGTTACTTTTTTAAGACACGTAACTGTAACTGTATTCGGATTACTTTCAGAGCCATGTAATCAGTAATCAGTAACTGATTACATTTACAAAGTAACCCTCCCAACCCTGTAGACAATATTAGCATTCTAACATGCTAAACTAAAATGGTGAATTTAAGCGTTGTTGTGACAGAGTCATTCTTTGGTGGGGGCTCTAAGGCCCCCCTCTGCCTCCGCGTGTCCTTTTGTGAATGGGTCAGATTAACAGAGGAAGAATTCACAGCAACCATTGGTAAGGTTATAACAAATATGCTGATTTAATGGTAAAAGATACAAATACAATATCATCACGAAGTAATCCGGAATACCCCGGCCCTGTCCTCCCGCTGGGAACTCTTACTTACTCGTCTTGGCAGCTGGAGGAAAGAGAACGGACACCAGGACTCAACAGGCTTTCATGCCAGAAAACAAACAGGAGGAGTTGGGTCAGCTGGTCATCTTTTCAGGTCATCTCATTGGGAGATGCAAAATATGCTGTGTCACAGCGAATCAGCCGTGCCAGCAGAGAACCTGAAAACAGTCTCAGTTTGAAGCAAACACATCTGGTATTTCAGCAGGTTTCACACACACTCATTTCCCTTCTTTTACCATTTAAGGTAACACAGACACATTGGGTGTCCTGCACGGACCCTTCATAACATATACAGAGAACGCACACTAATTTCAGAGATCTGAGCTATCTTCAAATAAGGGCATTCCCCTGCTCACCTTTTACTTTAAATAATGGTTTTACTCATAATTCCAACTCCCTATTATTATTGATACAAAGTAATTAAACACACACATATATTTTAGACATGTATGTTCTAGCTACTTGGCATTCTGTGTTTAGATAAGAATGTGTCCTCTCCCCACATCCCCAGTCATGCCAACCTGCTCCTTTATTTCACATAAGTAATTTAAACGCATTTAAGCCAACTACTCACAAAGTTGTGGCAATTTAATACTCACAACATGAAAGAATCAAACAGAAAGAAATCAATAAAAACACAAGCATCAGTATCATTGAGCAGTTATGATACAGCCAGATGGCTACTGCAACACACACACACATCCTACTCTGCTGCCTATAGCATATGTCTATATGGGTATTTCCTCTCTGTCTCCTTCTCCTGACAGGGAAGTTTTCACTTCTCTCTTTCCAGCTTCTTGTTCATATAAACTGCTACTATTAAATACAAAGTAATTAAGTACACACATGAATATATAAAAACACACTTCTTATATATCAGGGGACATTACAATGAATATACCAAAAATTACACTGTATTAAACTTCCTTCTATAATATATTAATTTAATTATCTTCAGCGTTTACCTAAAGACTCCCAAAGGCGCCTGCATGGCTGTAGTCCTGTTCTATAATTCCTGCTTTTATTCGGAATTCCAAGTGTATAATTTCTTCAAAATTACTTTAATTATTTCTGCGCACAGATGTCAGTGCCAGTATTTGTTTACTACCAAACTCTATAGAGCCTCTGTAATGATGAGTTGGACGTTAGGGTACTCTTGAGGTTTTAAAAACAGTATTTCCAATGTTTGTAAGAACTGTTAGTGGAAGTATTGTGTTAACAGAGCTCAAATGTTATCTGCGTGAGGATGATGTCAGGCTATATTGGGCCTTGGCATTTAGACTCTATTATGGGGCTGCGGGGAAACATTTCAGCATGCTGTGAGTGCCTTTGTGTGTGTGTATAGCACCCATCAGAGGACTGTCTCTGGAGCTGTCCAGGCTCAGCGGCTATGAGGAGATGAAGTGCAGCGTTCGTGATGTCTACCCTCCTCCTCGTGTATCCTGGGCGACAGAACCCCCCACTTTCGAGGACCTCCGACCGGTCACACGCATGAGGGCCGACAAACAGGGGCTGTACACGGTCGACAGCCGCCTCAAGAGGCTGAATGGACAACCCAACCTCATCTACATCTGTAAAGTCACAACTTCCTATGGGGGGCCATCCTGGACCGCCTCACTCAGGGAAAGGGGTACAAATATGTTCTAATTTAGGGTTTAATGTGTTAATGGATGTCCCCGACACAACTCAGGGCGAAAAAAATACTAATTTGCACATTTGTTCTCCAAGGAAATTAGTTAATATTCAAGAGTTATTCAAGAAATGAACATAAATGAATATTTGTCTTTTGCTCTCTGTTAGAAATAAGAGGAACTGAAGGGAGGGACCTGACCATCCCCTGCCACGCCCCTCCTTCCCTGAACAAGCCCTTCCTCCACTGGAGCTTCACCAACGGAGAGGACACCTCCCTCATCCTCACCTACGACAGCCAGTCGGGGAACAGCGTCTACCTGCAGCCCTGGGACAGCCACGTGGAGCTGGACGGGTACGCTGTGCCGTTTGGAGACGGGTCCCTGAGACTGATGGACCCCAAACACCTGCAGCACATGGGCAGCTACACCTGTGTGTTCTCCATGCCGTACATCACACACACCGAGCGCACTGAAGTCGCCATCGACAACTATGATGGTGAGGACACACACAGTTGTAACCAAACTCTGTAATTTATAACAGACAGGAGGAAATCGTGCATAATGTGGGGACTACTTTCAGGGGCGGATTAATCCATATGTTGTGCTCCAGTAAGTTATCACTCTGATTTATAGGATATAATTTACCAGACTTATCATTTTAAGGAATAAACTGTTGGTTCGGTTTCCTATTTCATTTTCCTTGCATGAATCCAGTCCAGGTTCAGGATTTATTCAGTATAGGAAGGGTTTTTGATTCAGGTGAACCACCTCTTGAATTAAGTAAAAGCAAATCAGATAAATCAGAAAATAATTTAAAAGAGCTCGTCCACCTACAGTATATGCATGCAACAATGCTTCATGTTCATGCATGTATCACAGCACTTTATTTATAAATGTTTGAATCCGTATTTGTCACCTGAGTGCAGTTGATCGGACGACTGCAGAAAAGCCCTCGTATTGGTGGATTGTCGGCCTGGTGGTTGCGTTGCTGGTTGTCGCTCTGGCCGGCATGCTGGCCTACCTGAAGGTGAAAGGTAAAGATGGACTTCAGTGCACACTCACACCAGTTTAACCAGATACAACTAATGAGCGTTTTCTAAGAATTTGCATTTGTTTCTGTGAAATAAAACGTAATAATTGTCATTGTTACAATCCTTGTGTCTCCAATCTGTTCTTAGGAGTTCTCTCAAAAAACAGAAAGGACCCTGAGGCTGTGACAGAGTTGCATTTAGTCAAAGGTCAGTCAAAACTATTTTAAAATATCACTTGCACCCAAACCAGACACTAGATGGAGCCAGAGAACAATTTAAGCTCAATGGTGCCATAATAGAGTTCTGTGTACAACTCATGATCTTTAACATATCCTCATTGGTATAAGTGGGGAGGAAATATGTAAAATGAAACATTGATCAGCTTAATGCAGTGGAATTAAAAAGCACCACAATACATCTACCTTCCAAAATTACCATACACTAAGGGTACCTGATCAACTCTAAAATAATCAAATTATGACGTTAGGATTTAATGCAGGACTGTTTCTAATATAACTATTTGATACAGTGGATCTATAATACAATTTAATAATATAATAGTAGTTAATATGATGGGTACTTCATATAAAAAATACCTAGGATAATTAGTTTAACTGTATTACCTTTGTTCCTTCCTTATCCTTAAACCTTTTCTCTCTTCTTTCAGACTTGTCAGCAGTGAACGAGAGCAGCCCTCTGACTGTCGGAGAAACCAACCCTCAGCCTCCCCCACGCGCTCTCAGCTAACCTGAGAACCAACAGAAACAACATGGAGCATCACCTAAAGCTAATGCTAACAGATCAAACACGCACACCGCTACACACTGCTGAGGAACTTTAGCTTCTTTGAGTTTCAATAAGAGCTTTGGACAGAAAAAACACTATATGTATATTTGAATTTGAGTGTACATGCTGAGATGTATAGGAACTGCAAAACAAAATGCTTTTAGTGTCTTCAGGGAGGGTTTGTGACTCCTGACAGTAAAGGCCCTGACACACCAAGCAGTCACCAGAGGACTCGCCGACGCCGACGTCGGCTGTTGCGTCGCGGTGTTCTCCTGCGTCTTGGCCATGTGTCGCACGGGAACACACCGCAAAGACTTCAGTGCGTGAGTGGCAATAACTCTCCTTACCAGCAGGCGGCGGTAGTATGTGTATTCGTCATTAAAAATAGGCAACAACCGGAAGACAGAGAAGAAGAACAGACTGCGTGATATAAACAACAACAAATAGCGTGTGCAAACTGCAGCCTGGTTATGATCCACTGCTGTCTGCCCGTCTTTGGTGCGCCACAACTACCCGAAGGGGCAAGTCTCCTGTACCGGGTGCACTGGGTTCGCAGAGAATCCACTTCTTCCTCAGCTCTTTCTCTGAAGCACACAAATAAACGATGTAACCATTGTGGCTAGTTAGCATGTCCAATTCATATCTATATGCAGTGCCAAACTGCATAGCTAGCAACAGCTAGCAACAAGATAACAACAAAACACAAGGTTGAAATAACAAATTACATTTCACGTTAACGTCACTGTACGCTGGCAAACAATAAAAACCCAACAGTATCTGCTCAAGAGCTCAATTGATGAAAAAGATAATCTTACCCGAGAAACCAAGTTGCGTTTCAATCTCTCGCCAGAGTCCGGTTTTCACTACTCGGTTCGAGTACCTTTTCTCTGTGATGTCGTACAGAGCTGGCCTCTCCTGGATCAATGTGATGAGCAGGTCTTCGTTTGCGTAATTCCAGATCGCCATGATGAGATGAAAATGAATATCAGTCTGTGTGTGCCTTCTTAAATCGTTTGTTTACGTCCCTCACTTCCGTTTCGCTTCTCACTGCCTGACCCTCATGCATCGGAGATCGGGACAGGCAGTCCAAATAAGGCGTGTCACGGTCGACGGTGCGGGACACACCAAATTGAGTTTGGGCGACAGGACACGCTTCGTCTCCCGATTTACGAAAACAGCCGAAATCGGCCTGGTGTGTCAGGGCCTTAAGGATGAATCTGCTGTTATTTCAGGAACTCTGTTATGGAAATGTTTTCTCGTGAATAATGTATAATATATAATTATATATATGGGCGTCGCAGCCATTACATGATTAGTTTAGAGCCCCCCACACACACTTTTACCATGTGGAAAGTCCATGAATCGGTGAATAGTGCTTCACTATCAAATCCATTCCACTTGCTTATTGAGAGAATGCCCAAATCAATGAAACTCCGTACCATGTTTTCACGGCTACTTTGTACCAAGGCAGATTCTCACATAGCGCGCGCATGTTCAAGGAGTGTTGCCATAGTTGGACAGCTCAGATCTGTTGTAAGGCACACACACACCAAATGTTCAGGAAATGGTTAATACAGCGAAAATCAAAGCTGACGATCTCTCGGTTTGATATGTTTTCTCCCCCAGACAACATGGACATAAGAACATTTAAAAGAAGAGGAAAGTAAGTCATCAGCTGGTAGCAGTTAAGGCTAACAGTGGAGAGGAGTTTCGTCTTTATGTCATGATAGAGAGTTACAAATACTGAATAGTTTAGATGAGAAAAGGCATCGAAATACCAGGTTACTAGTATTTATCATGTACACAGGGAACATGAATAACCCGATCTCTCTGTGCTCATGTAAACACCATGATGTCCATGTAGAGACGCAGTCAGTGTGTTTTACTGGAGCCTCAGTTCGATAAGAGATTATTTTCTGAGTTCTTTAACTTACTCTCTCTCAAAATGGTAATGTGCATTATGTTTTAATTATACTTCTTATCATTCAGAATCTTTTTGTGTGTGTTTATGTTTTACTGAGTGCTTGGCCATTTATATCCCAGTATTCAGTTAACTATTTATTTTCTGTGCACATTACATAGACTAGCTAATATTCTACCTACTGCTTGAGACTTTGAGTCTTCAAATGTCCAATGTCACAGACTGGGACTTACTTTAGAGTCAGTTGTATTTACATTCAGTATGACTTGTTATGATTCAATGTGAAAGAGTATACTGCTCAATAAATAATGATCACTTCACCACCTCTGTTGACATCTAGGCGCTTGAGAGTGAGTCAGAGGCAGAACACAGGGACAGTGGAGAGAGGTTCGTTGCTGAGGTGAGTGATGAAAGGGAAATGACAGTTTAGAGTAAATTGTGATGTGGACTCATCCCAGAATGTTAAGGAAATCAGTGGGGATATTGAACAGGAAACATTTCAGTCAAGGGGCATCATGACCAATATAGACAGAAGAGCAACATTTATTTGAACAAGTCAATGATACCATTCCTAGGTGAACTTAACATCGGTATGGAGTCAGATCAGTCTCAATATTAATAAATGCTCACAGAAGGATTCACAAATGCATTTTGCGATTTATATATAAATTACTCTCCACACCAATATCTCTCAATGCACTCACAAATATTTATTGTTGTATATAAATGTACAAAAAATGGGCATTTAAACTGCTTTTTATTCATTCAAAGACGGCTCTGAATTAATAATCAAATGTGTTTCCTTTCTTTACTACTGGATGAAATTACAAAATGTACCCATCATTTTCCTCATGCTAGTATAGCCACATAAAAGTATCAAACCACCATCTACTATTTTTTTTTTTCGTGGGGGGGGGGGGGACCCCCACACCCCCCCTTAAAGATGTCCCCCCCACATTCAGGATGCTTCCTACGCCCAATATAAAAGCCTGGAAGGAACACTTACCTGCTTTTGGACCAGAGTTGTTTCTGGATGAAAAGGACGTTGTTTCTAATGTTTAAAGGTTGATGTTGTCACGATTCTTCAAATGCGGTGGGCTTGACACAGGAATACGTACAATGGACTTGTATTTCCTGATCTAGCATCTGTGTTACTCGGATATGGGCACCTAAAAAAGGCCTCAGAAGAACCTCAAGGATCACAAAGTTACAAGAGGGCTGAGAACCAAAAAGCTGCCTTATAGAAGAAAAAGCACCTCTGTGTGAATGTATATTTGAACCACGGGAGGACACTTGATTTCCAAATAAAAGACTGACTTCATACACTGTCCTGCTGCCTTTAAACCCTCACTTCAATGAAGGATTCTCCAAGTTATGAAGCGCCTTCTGGGAATCGTTAACTGCCTGGATTATGAAAACGAATGTGAATGAACAATACAGATTTATATTTTTGAGATAAATCGTGCAAATATTTAATCTGCAGAAAATTGAACTTGTTTGAATTTCTCTCTGAACTACTACCACAATTTCATGAATAATAGTTGACCTTTCACAAATGTGTCATAATGTAATGACATTAAAAAGACTAATAACTGAAGGTTTGTGCTTTTTCTGTCGGAGATATGACAAAATAAAAGTCAACGATTGTTTAAACAGATTTCACAGCGGCAGACGATGCTTGGTTGTCACTGTGTTGTGTGTTTTGTTGAAAATGTCGTGGACGTTCGGGTCGTGGCTGAACCTGCCTCTGCGGTCCTGCCTTGGGTCTCGTCACGCTGCTTCCCTGATGGCTTCCACAGGATTGTAGCTGACATCCTCGTGGATTCATCTTCTTATTACAGACACATGCATTTCCTAACATTCGGTCTATATGCTGTAAAATGTATTATCTCTTCGATTTACACACGGCATCTATTGCACGTCTGTCCGTCCTGGGAGAGGGATCCCTCCTCTGTTGCTCTCCCTGAGGTTTCTCCCATGTTCCCTTTAAACTGTGGGTTTTCTCTGGAAGTTTTTCCTTGTACGATGTGAGGGTCTAAGGACAGAGGGTCTAAGGATAGAGGGTCTAAGGATAGAGGGTCTAAGGATAGAGGGTCTAAGGATAGAGGGTCTAAGGACAGAGGGTCTAAGGACAGAGGGTCTAAGGACAGAGGGTCTAAGGATAGAGGGTGCCGTTTTTCTCATACTGATATTCTGAACAATCTGTGCTGTTGTATTTACTGTAAAGCGTCTCTACTGTAGGCTATTTTTATTATATGTACAGCGCTTTGGCTCGACCAAAAATCGTTTATAAATGTGCTATAAATAAAACTTGATTTGATTTGAAATGTCATCCATAAAAAAATGTTTAAGAGATGTGACTTTATGACTGAGCCAAGTCAGCATAACATTTAAAAAGAAGGTAATGTGAGTTTTATGAGACGACTGCAGTCTGTGTTTGCTATTTCAAATCAGCAATGAAAAGCAGTAAACTCTGCATTTCAGCTTGTAGTCAATGACATTAAGAATGATTAAAAAAACTCATTCATTAAAAACACTGAATCAATTATCTGATATGCTGCCTGTCTGAGAAAATGTAAGAAACATTAGAGGAGAGTTAACCTTTGACCTACATTAGGGAGGACTCCTCTGGATTACAACACTCCCACCGATCATTGACACACTTCTTATCTCTCTCGCCTCTAACCCCAAAGACAGAAATAAAGAAGGACCTTTTTTTATAAATTATTCATCATCTTGTTATTTTAATGCAGAGTGAGATCATAACATTATTATCCATATAAAACCATGGGCATAGCTCAGGCTCGTTCTTTACATGTTCACACTTTCAGAATAAAGTTACAGTAAACGGAGGAAGTGAGTGCCGGGGAACTGTCTGCATATTCACGTATCATCGACGCCATCATCGCACTTTAGACCCAGTCCCCAGATAATTAAAAATGTTTAATCCTAACTCCTAAAAACATGAATTACATTTTTGACTGAATGGAAATGGAAGAGGTTAATAATTAGCTTTTAGTAAGAGGGCAATGATTTTTCAAGCTACAGTCCAACCTGTCAAGAGCAAAACAAATAAAGAAATAAACACCTTGACTAACCCTTTCATCAACTGTTGGCATTGGAAATAAACTACGCAGTAAGTGCTCTATTAGATTGTTCCATTTATCATTAGTCTGTCCATGCCAATTTGAAGCACAATCAAATCAGGGCGTGGCACTTCATGCACGTTATGAATTCACGAGTCATGCTGTAGCTCTAATGTGGAGCAAGGGGATATAAACTGGATGATATATGATAGCTTCCTACTTCCATTCCCACAATAGTCTGCACTTCTACAATGGCTTTGTCAGCGGTGTGTATTCACAAAATCAAAGTTAAACTATACAAAATGTCGTTTAACATATTTTCATTACACAGTGAAATTAACGGATATTCTCCCTAAATGTCACAACGCTGGAGTGACGGATGGACCTGATGCAGGACCCTCATACTACGACGGTAATCACACACAAATCAGAACATTACAGGAGGAGTGTTGAACATACTAAATCACGAGTTCATGTGTCTCAGAGGAGAGCCCTGGTGATTCTGTATTTTCAACACTCTCCTGAAGGCCTGTGAGTGACCAATATGTTCCTGTCCCCACACAGAAACCTCACCCAGAGGTTCGAGGACATGTTATTCATTTTGCCACCTAAAGAGTTCATTGCGTTCTAGTGAGCACGTTGTCCTGTTGCTACAGAAGCAGAGGTTGAGATGCCATATGGTGCTCGCATGCAATCTTTATAGTTTCAATTTCAAGCCTTGTTTTCTGGTTCAAATGATCTCCATGTCTTATTATTACAGTTTTATACTTTACGGAATATCCAAGAGGCTTTTATTTCCCATCATTTGGCCGGGAGAAAAAGAGCCAGGAATGAACAGAGCTACAATGAGGTGGGAGCAGGTAGGCCTACGTGAGCTTTTTTAACCTCCATTTATCCTTGGATAACTACGTTTTAACCATAAGATAATAGTGCGATACTTCGAGGTAATATTTTATCTGGAAATAACAGTCCCTTTGTTATTTTGGGGAAGTTATAACCAGCCTCTTATCTTCTGTCAGCTGTGGAGTTAAACTACTAGTAATCCTACAATACTCCCTTGTTAACTCAAACGCTGTGCAAACATAAATCTGTGTTACTGTGGGACTTAAAGACCACTGTGGTATGTAGCTTATCCCTACAGGCGGACCTCTGTTACTGTTATCAGATATGACTGCTATGCATAAATGATTAAAACCGTATAATGTATTTCCACCTTTTAGTGAAATACACTCAACCATATAAATTACATATATCGCACTGAACATGTAAATGATTAGACAGGACTAAAGTGATGATTTAAATAACAGAACAAACAAATGGTGATAAAGGAAGCAAAAATGATTAAAAACAATATTCTCTAGGTTTGGGCTATTTCTAATGTCTCGAGTGCAAAGAATTAGTGGACTGGTTTCATCAGAGCAGTGCATTATGGGAGGACAGCAGCAATCAGTTACGAGCCGAACTCCACGGTTTCCTCTGTGATGGGCTTGAACTCGTAGTTCCCTCTGCCGTCCATGTGGAGGTAAAACTTCAGGGCACAGAGGGAAACATAAGAATATCAATCAGTTACAAGAAGTACGACATATTTAAATGTTAAAAAGACTAAAGTCTGACATGTTTGAACAAGAACAAACAGATACAGCAGCCCCGGAAATGTTGAATTTATAAGAAAGGAAAAATAAGTTATGGAAAAGAAAAATATCCCATATATTTAAAATGACATTTCCACGCAAAGTATACAAAAAAACAATATAGAAATAAACAAAATAATAAACTTAAGACTGCTGTTTTTACAGTTGGATTTTGATTCCCTATTTTATTGTAAAAATTAAAGTTTCTACAATAAAAAAAGTGTTCCCATAAATTCCAAAAGAAATACTATGCACAATATGGAATAAGAAATAACCTTTGTAACGCTGACTTTACAGTTTCAGTTTGATACCACTGTATAAATAAACGGTTTGAACAATATAGATTTGCTATATAATTGTATAAGTGTGATATATAAAATGACTGACTGCAGGGAGAGAAGAGTAAAGGAGTCTGTGGGGAAAAAAAGGATTTCATTTTAAGCGGTAAAAACACAAATGAAACGCAGCTCTTACCTCGTGGTGCTTCCACAGAGACTTTCTGTGGGACACTGTGAACAAGGTGATGCCCACCTGTGGAGCAAAGGACACACAACTAGTACAGAGATCCACACCTGTTCATTTAGAAACCTTTCACTGCAACATGAATGAGTCACTGGGTGTTCCTCAATGTCGAGGAAAGCTGCTCCAGAGCCACTATTTCAAGGATACTACGTCATCGAGTGCCACCGAAGACTGTTCCAATGTCCAGGGTACTTGGAATTCTACCGAGGCCGGCGTACTTCATTGCGGGAAATTTCGAGGCTGCACACGGACCAATTTCCAAAATCTTAGATGGAAAATGTAAGGCGGGGCCTCTCATATGACGCACACCTGCACACTTGCTAGCCTGTTCCATTCTTCGTGGCAAGGAGGTATTCTTGCCTCGCTTCTGAAGGAACTCACTCGGAGGTACATGTGCTACCAAGCAAGCCTCCTCGACATTGAGAAACACCCACTGCTTTAACAGAGTGGTGCAGGAATGAGGATACCTGTAGATTAGTTATCATTTTAGCAGCATTAAAAAAAATCAACATCCCTGCATCCCCCTCTGTACCGAGACATTGTGGTTTCCTAGAGATGTACAGTGTGTGTGTGTGTGTGTGTGTGTGTGTGTGTGTGTGTACCGTCCTGCAGTGGCTGTAGATGAAGTCCTCCACATCCACACTCACTGCACTGGTGCACTCATCCAGGATGGCAAACTGGGGCTTGTGGTAGAACAGCCTGGCCATCTGCAAACAGAAACACACAGTCAATACTGAGGATGAAGTATAAAACGCTATATATATATATATATATATATATATATATATATATATATATAGCCATATCTGTTTTATTGTGTTGCTCTGTTGGAGGAGCCTGTGACCTAAGTCATAACTAGGTCAGCTATGCACACATGACAATAAAAGCCTTGAAACGTTGTATCATTCTCTGTGCTGATCAAATAGGCCGTTTGATTCACACTCCTTAAACTGTAGTTAATGTGTAATTATATATCTCACAGGAAGACTATCATAGATGTTTGTATTAAGCCATGCTTTGTGCTCTTTCCCTTTATCTTACTATATTTTCTTGTACCTTGTCTGTATACAAATATTAAATTAGTTAAATAAAACAATTAATTCAGCCGCAAACCGACTATGTGTGAGTTTGATCGGCCCTACCACCTGAGCAGGGTGATCAGATAGAAAATAGATGGACGTGTCATTTAAATCTTGTTTCCTTAGATAGTGAGTCCTTACAGCCATCCTCTGCTTCTCCCCTCCACTGAGCACGTCCATCCAGTCCTGCACACAGTCCCAGCTGCCCTCCCGGTCCAGGATGTGGCCCAGCTGCACGTTGTCCAGGTACTCCTTCAGCACCTACACACACGGGTGAGAAGGTGTGTGTTACTATAAGCACACACTGACAGCAGGAGCGAGTGTGTGAAGTGTGTGGGGTCCCACCTGATCAGAGATGCCTTTCCTCTGCTGGTCTTCATACGTGTCAGGATAAATGACCTGGTCCCTCAGAGAGCCCAGAGTCATGTAGGGTCTCTGCAGAGACACAACATGTGCAGGAATAAATCAATATTCAGTCTGAGATGCAAAACTGGATCTATGAGAGACACTACTCCTAAAAATGCGATATACAGGGTTCTTACACCTTTTCCAAAGTCAAATTCAAGCACTTTTCAAGCATTTTCAAGGTGCATTTTCCAGCTTTTCAAGCATCTTACAGCTGTTGTAAATTACATATTTATATACACATACTCAAATGATTATTTCCCTACCTCACATTAAATCAATGTTCTTTATGCTACCAAATGTGTGTTTCGTGATAGCCTTCTACACGAGGATGAACAATTAAAGAAAAGAAAACTAAGTTTAATATTTCAAAATGAGTGACCCATCTGTATGTCCCATATAACCTGTCTGAGCCAATATAAAACTATCAGCCAAATAACTTTTCAATACATTATTATTATTTTTGAGGTACTTTTAGGTTGGCAGTAAACACAAGTCAGAGGTACATGGTGTACTTCTACTCCACTACAGTTCAGAGGTACATGGTGTACTTCTACTCCACTACAGTTCAGAGGTACATGGTGTACTTCTACTCCTCTACAGTTCAGAGGTACATGGTGTACTTCTACTCCACTACAGTTCAGAGGTACATGGTGTACTTCTACTCCACTACAGTTCAGAGGTACATGGTGTACTTCTACTCCTCTACAGTTCAGAGGTACATGGTGTACTTCTACTCCTCTACAGTTCAGAGGTACATGGTGTACTTCTACTCCATTACAGTTCAGAGGTACATGGTGTACTTCTACTCCACTACAGTTCAGAGGTACATGGTGTACTTCTACTCCACTACAGTTCAGAGGTACATGGTGTACTTCTACTCCTCTACAGTTCAGAGGTACATGGTGTACTTCTACTCCTCTACAGTTCAGAGGTACATGGTGTACTTCTACTCCTCTACAGTTCAGAGGTACATGGTGTACTTCTACTCCATTACAGTTCAGAGGTACATGGTGTACTTCTACTCCACTACAGTTCAGAGGTACATGGTGTACTTCTACTCCTCTACAGTTCAGAGGTACATGGTGTACTTCTACTCCATTACAGTTCAGAGGTACATGGTGTACTTCTACTCCTCTACAGTTCAGAGGTACATGGTGTACTTCTACTCCTCTACAGTTCAGAGGTACATGGTGTACTTCTACTCCTCTACAGTTCAGAGGTACATGGTGTACTTCTACTCCTCTACAGTTCAGAGGTACATGGTGTACTTCTACTCCTCTACAGTTCAGAGGTACATGGTGTACTTCTACTCCTCTACAGTTCAGAGGTACATGGTGTACTTCTACTCCTCTACAGTTCAGAGGTACATGGTGTACTTCTACTCCTCTACAGTTCAGAGGTACATGGTGTACTTCTACTCCTCTACAGTTCAGAGGTACATGGTGGACTTCTCCTCCTCTACAGTTCAGAGGTACATGGTGTACTTCTACTCCTCTACAGTTCAGAGGTGTACTTCTACTCCTCTACAGTTCAGAGGTACATGGTGTACTTCTACTCCTCTACAGTTCAGAGGTACATGGTGTACTTCTACTCCACTACAGTTCAGAGGTACATGGTGTACTTCTACTCCTCTACAGTTCAGAGGTACATGGTGTACTTCTACTCCTCTACAGTTCAGAGGTACATGGTGTACTTCTACTCCTCTACAGTTCAGAGGTACATGGTGTACTTCTACTCCTCTACAGTTCAGAGGTACATGGTGGACTTCTACTCCTCTACAGTTCAGAGGTACATGGTGTACTTCTACTCCTCTACAGTTCAGAGGTACATGGTGTACTTCTACTCCTCTACAGTTCAGAGGTACATGGTGTACTTCTACTCCTCTACAGTTCAGAGGTACATGGTGTTACTTTACAGATCAGGATGAATGATGTGAAATCTAATCAAGTGTTAAATCTTTAGTTCCACCTGGAGTAAATCCACCAGCTACCCTGCAGTATACAAAGTCATTCAAACTAGCTGCACCTTTACCAGCTTTGAGAACACTTTCATGATCAATCATTATAAAACATATCATATATATTATTACGAATACTTTTCTACTTTCACTTGAGGAATATTTTGAATGCAGGACTTTTACTGTGACAGAGTATTCCTACACTCTGGTACTTCTACTTTTGCTAAGTACAAGATCTGAGTACTTATAATTTCACTACAAGATCTGAGTACTTATAATTTCACTACAAGATCTGAGTACTTACACTTTTACTCAAGTACAATACCTGAGTACTTATTCCACCTCTGGTAGCTATTAGTCTGAATTGTAGCCACAAAATCACGCAGAGCTGCATAGAAATAGCCTCACAATGTTAACAAGTGGAAAATAATATTTACAAATGTGTACAATGATTTGTAGGCAGTGGTGGGCCGTCAGGGCCAGCAAGGCCTTCTCTGCTGGCCTAAACATCATCAGAATATAAATTTTGATATAGATATATTTTTTCCACAAATATGTATTAAATTATTCCCCATAGTCTATTCTTTTCATTTCATAGCTTTCCTCTTGGTTGCGCTGCTTCCAGCCTCAGAACAATATTTGGAGGGCTGGCCTTTATGTTAGAGCTTTTATCCAATCATATTTCAGCCATAATGTGTTGCCAGGGTCCAATAAATCTGCCCTTAGGCCTTCAGAATCAACAGTGCGGGCGCCTGTAGCTTAAAGTGAACGGAAACAAAACTGTGGCGTTAACCAATCAGATTTTGAGTTGGCGACAACGGGCCAGCTAGCAGGCGTACGATGACGTCAGCACGTGCACGTCTTTTGATTGGATACGCACTATTGAGAGGCAGAGCTATGTAGAGCTAGCAAACTGAACTTGAATTTGAACGAGCTAATTTGTGTAGATTTCTACAAGCTGTTTTTTTTCAACCCACAATGGCTGAAGGAGGAGAAGAGATTGATTTGGTCGCAGATATAATTACAACGCCATTTTCAAGACGAACTTTTCAAGAAAAGCTAGACATTGTGAGAAGAGAACGGCCAACCCCGACGCTAGCGAGCCTATCACAGCGGGGGAAAGGGTTTGTCCGCCACTTTCAAATCACTAACTACGAGCGGTACCCCTGGCTCACAGCCTCCGAGAGGCACTGCAAATGGTACTGCTGGGAATGCCTGCTATTTGCAAATGATCGATTTGGTGTTTGGAGCCACACTGGATTTGCAAACTTGAGTTGTCTAACCAAGGCAGCAACGAGACACCAAAGCACGGCTGGGCACTTACAAGCAATGGTGCTTTTGAAAACCTTTGGGGACACCCGAGTGGATCTACAGCTCAACGAACAAGTGCGACGGGAAACGGAGCTCCACAACGAAAGGGTGAACAAAAATAGGGAAATATTGAAAAGACTGATTGATTGTGTCCTGTTTTTGGGTAAACAGGAACTTTCATTTAGGGGACATGATGAAAGCGCCGAGTCCAGAAACAGAGGAAACTACGTGGAGCTTCTTTCTTTGCTTGCTGAGAACAACACAGACTTGCATTACCACCTGTCCACAAACAATAATTCAGGTAGGACTGTGTCGGACATCACTGAAGGCCTAGGTGTGAAATGCACGGCCCGCCACTGTTTGTAGGTAATGTTGACTACTCAAGAACCTGACTTCTACATCTTCAAAGGAAGACTGTGTTCATTCTACAATTACATGGGATTAAAGCAACATGTAGTTTTACTTGTATAATACTTCAATGTTATATAAAAGACAGTTTGTTTTCATGTTTTCAAATAAACAAAGTCTTGGCTTTCAGAATATTAAACTTGTTTCGGCAAATTCAGATGATAAATACAACTTTGAAGCTTCGGCATAATTACAAGCGGAGAACTGAGTAACTTAACCTCACAGCAGGCATAACAACAGCTGGTGTTTCTTGTGAGTGTTTCCCCGGGAAACAAACGCAAAAATACACGAACACACTCGCGAGCTTCCCCCAGACCAGTAATACAAACGAAGATGTGTCTTCGGGTCAATGTGACTGATTTCGAGAGAGCAAGTCACATTTGGTTTAGGTACGAAACATACTACCAGTAGAAATACATTGCTTTCAAAATCGCTCTGTGTCGAATCAATAGATTATATTTCGTGACTATAACACGAAATGCCAGGAGACTGGGTTGAATTACAAGTGAGTGCTTCATCCTCTGAACACCACAGGATGGCGACTGTAACGCACATAACATAGGTACGCTCCTCTGAAATGATTGTCCCCTGCAAGTATTATTATCCCTCAATCGAGTTTGCTAATCAGCTAGCTAACGTTAGCTTAAACAAACGTAACATGCAACGTTAGCCTAATCTAACATGCTCTTCTACGGCGTACCTTTCATGTGGCTCGTCAGCGCAGACTCTCGCATCGTTATTTTTGCAAACTTTGCAGGAGGCTACTCGTGGGACCCTCGTCTTAGCCATGGCTTGTATTTGTCTTCTGCTAGCCAACGCTCGTTGAAACTGCAACCTCCTGGCACACAGTCATCTATCACTCATCAGAATGCCCAGGTCACACGTAACACAAACACTTGCAGGTCGCGCGCAGCGGAGCTGTTTTATGTAGAAGCGAAGTAATTATTTATTTTAATCTAAAAAGCGAACTATTCAGTCAGACAGCAATTTCTTGTAAAAGTAAAGCATTTACATTTTCAAGCACTTTATCTCAATTTCAAGCACCATTCCCAAAATTCAAGCACTTTCCCAACCTTAAAAACACCACGTCAAATTTCAAGCATTTTCAAGGATTTCAAGCACCCGTACAAACCCTGGATATAATTATACCATTAAACAAAAAAAAATGTTTTAAAATTCAATAAGCAATTTATTGTATTTTAGGACTACATTTTAAGAAGTACTATCTTGTTTATAGCAGGGGTATATTGCTATTTAAATATTCTAAAATAACATTGCATATTGTCATTTCCATATATACTGCATGTTGGTAACAATGTAAATATTAGCTAACATGCACATAGAGATAGCGGTACATAAATGTGTTTTTTAATTATTATTTTAAGTGTAATTATATTTTATAAATCATCTTTATAATATGTTAAATGATGTCAGGGTATCTGCAGGAGTCCTGAAGTCAGATGCCTTGTAAGACCTTTTTTAAGACCCTTTCCATACATTTGAAGACCTCATCGCCACTTTGAGTTTTAACCGGTTACCTTGGCGACACACTTTACCTCACATTTACTATATACAGTATTGATTGTCCTTCCTCCTTATCTTCTAACCGTTTGGACGCAAACTTGCATTTCCCCATAACGATGTTGTTTAACAACCGGCGTAAACGGGCCTTCGCGCGCTATCAAGCAGTGAGTGCGCGATGTCCTGTTCAGATGACGTCAAATCCAACGGGATGCCATCAATAAACTACACAGAATCACACTACACACCTACGCCATGATTACATTCAGGCATACTGTAGAATACAACCTCTTTGGACCATTTATATACTTATTGAAAACAAGCTACAAAATGCAATAACTTGGAAAATACCGTTTAATATTTTTTAAATAGCCTTCATTTTTGCTAAATAGATTGATCAACTTTTAATACTTTAAGACCCCGCGGACACCCTGGATGTTGTTAGCAGTGGAACATTGACGATGTTTTACCTGTGGAACATAGAAGAGCTTCCCTCTCTCTGGTTTTGTCAGACTTCCTCCGAACAGAGGCCACAGCTTTAAAAAAAAAAAAAACAACACACACATTGTTTTATTTACAAAAGAAACACAAGGTGAACACGTGTTTTACAAAGAATATGTTCCGTCTCTCACCTCTCCGAGCACCCTGAACAGAGAGCTCTTTCCACAGCCGTTTGGTCCACACACGAGCACATTGGTGCCGGAGCTCACCTTCAGAGGGCAGAGAAACACATGGTGTCTTATTAAAGTCATGCAACCATACTTCATATTTCAAACAAATGTGTTAGTTCTCAGTCTGGATAAGATATGGCGATGAATAATACCTCAAAGGAGAGGTCTTTGATCAAAACGTCTCCATTAGGTGTTGCTAGTGGGGTGTGGTCGAATCTGCAAAACACACAAATGTTGTTTTAAAGCTGCTCTTATGGAAAGAAGTCAAATATGCTGATATAGAATAAGAAACCTACTTGATGATGTTGTCTCTGTTGATAACATTTCCACTTCCAGGCACCAGGACGAGCTTCTGGGAAGCGTCTGAATCTAAAGAGGATGGAATAAAAAAAGTCAGTTATTCTTGCTGAGATCAGATTAGTTTCCGTCACATATCAGGAGTGGTGTGTACCTTTCTCATTCTGGGAGACCATGGTGCGCACATATTTGCCAGAATTGAGATCCTTCAGGACTTTCATCAGCTCAGTGATACGGGATGTGAATCTGTGGGGGACAAATATATGAATGAATAAACACCTCAAACCGCTTACTCACTCATTTGATATACAGTATGTTGCTCCTTGTAGCATCTATTAACGACCAAAACATTTCTTTAAAAAGGGCAGAAATAGTAGATTGCAATAGAAATTCAAAAGTGAAATTAATACATTTTAGAGATGGGAGAAGTGAAGAATTACAATGTGAAGGCAGAAACATGCAAAGCCTTTCTAAATCTTTAAAGAGTGGTGAGAGAAATTGAGTCATCCCTCGGGATGGGTACCGAGCCCCGGTATTAAACGGGCTCGGGGGCTGAATTATTAAAGACCGTGGTACCGTTAAGCTCGGATGTTATCGGTCTTTTTATCGGTACTGAAGACATGTAAAAATATATGTCATATGTATTATTGCTACACAAACATTATATTGCAGTTTAGTGTCGCCAACTCCGTTTCTAATACGCAAACAGACTGCAAAATGCGTCTATGATTATTTTTAGTATTTTCGATCTTTCCAATCCAGTCGAGAGATCTCTCCCCTGTCTGTGTGCGCCGGGGCCACACACACACACACACACACACACACACACACACACACACACACACACACACACACACACACACACACACACACACACACACACACACACACACACACACACACACACACACACACACACACACACACACACACACACACCACACACACACACACACACACACACACACACACACACACACACACACACACACACACACACACACCACACACACACACACACACACACACACACACACACACACACACACACACACACACACACACACACACACACACACACACACACACACACCACACACCCACACACACACACACACACACACACACACACACACACCACACACACACACACACACACACACACACACACACACACTAGGGTACTTACATGTACAAGTGTTTTTATTGTAAAGTGTTTTTATTGTAAAGTGTTTTTATTGTAAAGTGTTTTTATTGTAAAGTGTTTTTATTGTAAAGTGTTTTTATTGTAAAGTGTTTTTATTGTAAAGTGTTTTTATTGTATGTACAGCACTTTGGCTCGACCAAAAATAGTTTTAAAAATGTGCTATAAAATAAAACTTGATTTGATGTTCAGATAACACATCTATGAGGAAAGACTTTTTTTGTGATTGTTCTTATGTTGTTTTTAAATCCTCTTCTTTTGTTCTGTTCACACTCACCCTGAGAGGCGGGTCATCTCTCGGCCGGCCAGTACGATCCTGCCCAGAGCCTGGGACAGTCTGAGGAGCATCCTGCCGCTCTGGTAGTAATCCTACAGAGGTCCAACAGCAGCACGTTACACCAAATATAAATGTATTATAGCCTTTCTAATACATCTATAGAGTACTCTTATATGTGTTGTTCTGCTCTGGAGCCACTGGTGTTTCTGCATCATTTGATAAGGCATTTGTATTATTGTCTACTTCATTAATGTGCGTTTATGCAGCTGGATTAACTGACTGGTTAGACAAGTATTGACATGTAAAGCCACACTTTGTTTGCGCCAACATCTATCACAGCATTACTCTCCACAGGGCGACTGTGGCTGTGAGGGAGTGCGGTCGTCTTTCAACCAGAAGGTTGTGGGTTCAATCCCAGCCCATGCAGCCAACATGTCGATGTATCCTTGGGCAAGATACTTAACCCTGAGTTGCTCCCGATGGCATGGCCAACGGTGTGTGAATGTTAGGTCCGAGAGTAAGGTACACTGCTCTGTATGAATGGGTGAATGACATGTAGTATGTAAAGCGCTTTGAGGGGTCTTAAAGACTGGATAAAGCGCTATATAAGTACAGTCCATTTCCATGTTTGCTTGTAACAAAATATCAATATATTGCCACTGATAACTGTGAATAGCAAGTCAATGTGCATTATTTTACAAGTGTGAGTGAGTGTGTGTGATTTCTCTGACCTCCAGCAGCTCAGAGTGTGTGCTGGTCAGATGTCGGGAGTGTCCCGGGGTGAGGAATGGACGGCTCACCACCAGGTAGCCCACAACAGTGGCCAGATCTGCAGAGAGAGAACAGCATGTAGAAACACATATATAGATATACATATAAACAGATTGAAGGACACATATTGTGCTCATTTTCAGGGTCATGAACAAATTGTGATTTTCATGACCCCTTAATGATAACTGCACTTTTAAAAAATTAACTACAAACAATTATTTTAAATATATTGTCTTCATATGAATCTGTGTTTTTCTTGCTCACTGTTTCTGTTTTTTCACTGTCACTTAATCTTGATGAGATACATCTACTTACACTTGGCAATCATGCTGTCCACAAATCCCATGGAGAAGCGGAAGAAGATAAATTGATGCAAGTGGTCCACCTGGAAGAAAATATAAAAATGGTCAATATTCTAAAGTCGGGGAAAATAAACAAGGACTTACTCTAAACACAGACTCAAACATCCCAAGTGGAAATGGAATTAAGCTACTGCCTGAATCGAGCATGAATGATAAAAGATACATAAAGTGTTACTCACCAGTTTCTTGAAAGTGCTGTGAATGGTCAGCTTTTCCCTCTCGTTCCCGTTGTAGAAGGCGATCTCCTCACTGCAGAGAGGAAGGACATCTCACTGTAGCGTCGAAGCTAACAGCTGTACAGTTATTGGGTTTGCGTAGTTGTTAATGTGTTTACCTGTTAGTGATGAGGCGAGAGTTGACGAAGCGGTACTCTCCTTCGTACCGCTGCTCCGTGACCGTCATCTTTCCCATTGGCCGCCTCATTCGGGTCAGGAACATGCCTGAGACCAGCAGGTAGGTCATCATCACTGTTGGGCCCTGGGGGAGAGAATTATAAAATGTAATTCACATGTACAAAACAACATCTAGATATTTCACAATAAACTAATAGGATCAGGTTGACTCAAAAGACAGAAATTAACAATAACAACACTTTTAAATAAATTAAACTAAAGGAGGGAAGGGAGGTGGAAACAACTTCCTGTTTAGCAGTACAACAAGGTTAGTTTGGATGTTTTAACACGCTTACCTGAGCCCCGATGGCAGTGGTCAGCTTGTAGATGTACAGACAGATATCCAACAGAGGCTGCAGGACGGACAGAAGGTTTAAAAATAATACCGACATATTTTCCTACAACTTTAGCTTTCTGCCTCTCATTCATGGGGTCTGCACTGCTTTTTTAATATCATCATCACCATCATGCATGAGTTGCTCAAGGACTTCCAACCTGCATTGAGTTTAGTGTTTGCAGGGTTGATCTGGTACAATACCCTCAATGCCACAGGAAGGTGTGGTCAATGCCTCCATGTAACCTCCATGGAGCTTCAGTAAATATCTAATGTGCAAATGGGGCGAAGCCTGCGAGCTAGTTCAGGCAGTCAACTCGAGCATCAATGATACATTAACACGTAACGCGTCTCTCTTACAACCAACCAAACACAATCTCCTTAACTTGCCGCTCTATTTAAGCTGCCTGCCTCTGCCTCGCTAATGCTGCGGCTCTGTCACATTGCTGATGCGTTCACGTGCTGCTTGCCTGCCCCACCACCACCCCAGCTTCCACCTGTAGGCTCGGGGGATAGTTACAGTATCTAATCATTATTGATGGCGAGATGAAGCCTTATGAGCTTTCCAGCCAATTGGTTCGCAAAAGGGTTCATCTCATGAGGCTTCATCATGGGCTTCATTTGAACACAAACCCCCTGTTGGTCAAAGTGTGTAAAACAGGCAGATTGGACCTCTCAACAGTGTGCTCTATCTCATACCGAGTTCCCAATGAGTAAAGCCTTAGAATAACTCTAAACAACGAACATTAAATCATATTTTCATGTTAACAATATTGTTTTTATTCCAGTTGAATGATTGTGATTGAAAAGCCTAAGGAGGCTGGTACACATTGCAAAGAGGGATTTGTATTCCTTAATAATATTCATAAACGTAACCATGGTGTAGCCTGAGAAAGGCTAAACCATATCAAATAATACATTTATTAACTACATTATCTCATTTAGCTGTAGCTTTTATAAACAACAAAAAATACGTATTGTTCAGTCGTTGAACCAGGGATCATTCTGCTTTCCAGCTGAGCCACAGCACACACACTGAATCTCACTGAAAACACTGTAAGCTATGTATTCCTGTATTTATTGATGTTTTTATTCCTACATTTATTTATGCTTGCATCTATTTATACTTATGACATGTCCCGACCTCTATATAAGTGAGGGTCTGAGCTCTCTTGATTCCATCGTGTCACCGGGCCCGGGTACAGGAGGGGTATATGGTTCTTATTATACATCCATGGGTATTATGAGCGTTGTGGTTCAACGGTTCAACTGATCTGAATCGCTTCCTGAAGCAGTCACGTGGTATCGACAGGCAGCGAGGCTTCGTTTGTCATCGGTGACGTCACTGGCCCAAAACGATACAAGCCTCGATACAAGCTTCACAAAAAGCTTTGGGGATTACTCGACACACGCTCCGAAGCCTCGGCGCAATACGTAACATCACTACTAATCATCACTCAATGTTCTATGTAAATCTGTGGAGTGATGAGGACCGAGCCTAGACGCCAAACTCAACTATATGCTGCTCTAATAAACGTATTAAGAACACGTGAGTTGTCTGACTGAAATATACCCCTGATAGTGGGAGTTAAATGTGTCTTTGGTGGACATATGGAGAAAAGGTGATTCTAACAAAAACATCTGAAATGTCCAGGATTCCAAGAGATGTGAAACTGATGTTTACTTTTTCTTAAAAAGCATGAAACCTGGTGCACTTTCACAGTTTGTATAAATATGACAGATATGAAAAGTTAAGGTATATAGAGTATGACCAGTATTAATACGTAGCAAAACTCTGAACATTAGCATAACATATGAATACACGAGAGGTATAGACAGTAGTATAAATATGAATAAGCTATAGACCAGTATAAACACTATGTATGCGAGTACATTTGAGTAAACTGTGGAATAAACAACCAGGATGGACAGTTGTATAAAAAAAAATGTCAGTACCTCACTGTGTCACCAGGTGTGTAGGGGGGGGGTCATAAACATGTGTAACATGAATGAAGACATAGATCATTAGCACAGCGAGGTACCTTGCTGAGGTTTGAGTAAAGGTCCACCACACTGTTGCAGAACTTCTCCACGTCCTGTGTCAGCAGCTGGTCTGGATTGGCTATCCGGTTGTCCAGGTTTCCCATTTTGTAGTAGGTGAAGCCCCTGAAGAGACAGACAACACGGTCAGAAGTCAGAGAAAGCACAAAGTACACTAGTGACATAACAGCAGGTCAGCCACATAACCTCCAGATGTGTGTGAAAGGGTAACAGGTCAAAAACATGAGGTCAAGGTTTATTATAATGACTGCTTGTTCCTTCTTGAACCACCTGTAGAATAGCAGTTAGGAACTGCAAATTGCATTTGACTGATAACACTTCAGGGACAACCTGACTGTCTGAAAGGAGGATTACATGTGTGGTTTATCTACTACATGGAACCAGAGGATATTCTCTGATGCATGACGTAAAAGATCTACGTGTTTCCTCAGTACTTACTGCAGGTACTGGTCGTATAAGTTCTTGGTGAGCCTCTCGCGGAACCTCAGCTTCAGCTCGAATAGACCCAGCTTCAGGAAGTTGTTCACCAAGGCTATCTGAAATGAGCCAGTCACACGTGTATCCATCTCTCATTGTGAGCTGTTGGCTAAAGCACAGCTGTGACAGGGTGTATACTGTTCATGCTGATAGCTTTTATATATATTTAATTAGAAGCAGAGGATAGGGAATGAAGGAAACATGCAAAAGCAGAATATTAGTATCATTTTACAAGAGCAAACTCACAATTTAAAGAATTCGGCTGGAGATAATCTATATTTTTCTAAATATCAACAAATCTGATTAAAGTATTGTATTTGTATCTAAAGTCTCATCCCAGCAAATACCTCCTTTTTGAGAAGTGACGACCATTTAAGAAATAAAAACTGGAAAAATGCAAAACAATAATGTTTTAAGAGCCAAAGGCATAGTGCTCAGAAATATATAATAAATATGGAAGTTAAAAAGTATTACGAGACCATCTATAATCATTGACATCATGATGTTTGTTGACAGTTAAAAATATATAGAATACAGCCATCCTTTTCACTTAACATTGAGGGGAATGGTATATTTGCCTACGTTTAAATCAAATTAATGATCATGCAAAATGCGTGAAATGATTGAATGAGATAATCCACCATCACCAGGAAGTTAGTAAATACACAGGAAGACAGAAATGTCAGTGTTTGCCATGTCAGGTCTCCTCTGTGAAAAAATTAAACTGCCAAAAATTTGCAACAGTATGAAAATAATTATATATATAGAAATTAAGATCGCCCTCAGGAGTGTGACAAGTTCAAAAAAACTTACAGCTGGCATGAATTTGATAAAGCTGAACAAGTAGGTCTTGAACTCTTTTGGCGAGCGGCCGATAATAGCACTGCAACCACAACATGCACAGAGATGAGCAAACAGCAGGGTCAGAGGGACAAACACTGGGCCCGATGCACTTCATTCTGCTTTTTGAACCAATGCGGGACCGCTTAAAAAAAAAATAAAATAAATAAAGTAACAGCGGAGTCCTGACACTGGAGAGCTCAGGAATGCCATTCAGTTCATGCTAGTTCTGTGCATATTCACTTTTTGGACCAGAGTGAGACAGCTGTGGGGTCAAAAATCCTCTTACTTTAACCCTTCTAATTAAATCAGTAAATTGTCAGCTGTGAAAATAATATTATAGTAAAGAGAATATTCATTTATTGTGAGAAAAAGTCCAAATTATACAACTTTTTCAAATTAATTGATATAAAGTCAGTTTTAGACTTGGAATCGATTAATTATATATATATATTTTGTATTCTGCTAGGAAGGCATTTGTAATAGACAGAAGGGATTCTCCAATTAGCAATCATTATTTAATATGTATTCCTGATTTGGTTACTCACCCGTCCTGTTACAGATATATTCAGTTCGTTAAAATACTGAACACAAAGTGAATGGAACTCCATGAGAAAGCTACTGTATGCTAAATGTATTATTTGTAATAATCCACAGGGGAGGGGGGGTGTTATGGCTTGAAGGGAAATGTAGTCCTCAGACAGTGAGTGATGGGAAAGCACAACTCATACAAAGCAAAAACAGCACTTCTACAAAGCACATGTTGTGTTTACCGCGGGTATGACTTTAATGTAGGAATAAAAGTGCTTCTTGAACAGAGCGCTGTCTCTGCTTATAATACCGCTGTGGAGAAGCAAAACAAAGTTATCAGCTCCTGCAATAGAGGGGAAGTAAGGATGTATGTTTGTAGGCTGACCAGGAAGTAAGCAACGTCCCTTCGACTAAAGGCTAGTGGGATGTTACCATTGGATTTTTTAATATATCAGAAAATAAGCTCTGTGGCAAATGTATGATACTTAACACCTTTAATTGAGAGCCGTTTCAACATATAAACACCACTTTGTTTTTTAAAGTGTAAATGCAACTGCAAGAAGTGAAAGTTAAGGTTAGGCTATAAACAAGCTAGACCCTGGTCACATGACTTCACACCACCGCTAAGCTAAAGATGGCAAATGTTCGGCATGATTACGCACGTAGTTTCATTTGTTAACAATCACCATTTTTTAAATTCACCAGTGGGGTATTTACTAAGGTCGTACAAGAGCATTAATAATATCTTCAGCTTGTGTTAACCACAGACCTTATTTCAGGCTTCTAACCAAAATGGAAAAGTTCAAAAAACGACTGAGACGAGGGAACCTGAAATGGTAATATGCCAACAGATTTCCGGGTTCATTCCTGCACCACTGTACAGAAAAAGCAATTGATATATATGAACAATAGCTTTTTAAAACACTTTACAATGGGACTTAAGGAGATAAACTGCTTATATTTCTCCTGTCACTCAGCTGTGGATTTATTTAACATTCACATAGCTTCTAGACGGTGACAACATGATATACCCAATATACTTTTATGGTACTGAATTGTAAAATCTCTGTTTCAAACTTGTAATAAGAGTCACACCTTTCGATCATGGTGCCGTTCTGGATCATCCATACGTCACAGTAGGTCCTGGCCACCAACATGGCGGCGATTAAGGCGAGGTAGCCAGTCTTTGGGGAAGACAACAAGCACAGATAATAGTTGGTAAACCCTGTACATCATGAAACCCTTAATCGTGCTGCACTTCACTCCGCTCATATCTCCTGAACTGATCGGATAAGACTGGACCAGGGGAAACATGTGGCGGTGGCCTTGACATATATGTGTGCCAAAGGTTCGTCATTATGCACCGGTCATAATGACACTTGGATTGATGTTGAACTCTCGCCAAATTACAAAAATGCTACTAGTGGCTGCTATTGCACCACTATCTATTATAATGCTGCTACTTATTTTATATCTTGCATCTGTACGTTTGATATTTAGTTCAATAAAATCTGTCCTCTTTGCTGTCACGATGTAAATGTCCCGGCTTTGGGACTAATAAAGGTTTTCTAAATGCGTACTTACCCTAGCATCGTATAAAATGTTTTAAAATCTAACTTCTAGGTAGGCTTGAAGGTGAAGCTTATTATAACAACAAATCTCATCTGAAATCACCTGCTCTATTTTGGGATTCATCTCATTCTCACATCCCAAAAGTAAAATCCCTGCGGCAAACAGCGTGCAATGGACAAACCGTGACTGTCACGCGGAGAAAAAAAAGGCGATTAAGATTTAGGACTTTCTGATTTTGCTAAAAGCTTCTAAGAAAACCAGTTGGGTTTTTAGTGTTTTATTTGTGGAATTGGTTTACACATCTGTGGTAAAGACTTTACGAGCTGAACAGCAGGTCGATGTCATACCTCCATGCTGAAGAATTGGGGTACCATGATCCGCAGAATCTGGAAAATTCTGCCAAAGAAAACTTTGTCCACAGCGGCTCGGTCTTTTTTGCCATCTTTCTGAATGAAGAGAAATAACAAAGGGTGGGCTGTGATACAACTACAGGTTGCCATTGATGACAAAATGTATGGACACTTTTCCAGACCTACCTCGTTCTGTACTACTTCCGAGCCTCCTTTTTTACTGCAAAGAGAAACATAATTAATCAGAGCATTTTTTGAAAGGGCACAAACACATGTGAGTGAAACTACACACAGCCCTGCAAATGATTTCACACTTTTCCACAGGTAGCAACAACAAAGGCAGCAAGAAGACGAATGAGATAAGCAAAGCAAATTTCAAATGTGACAAAGTTTCACAACTGAATGTGTATAACCAGATTTGTACTTAATGTGTAAACAAATATCTAATTGCGTACTAAAATAAGTGAATGAGTTAAGGAGTGTGTGTGTGTGTGTGTGTGTGTGTGTGTGTGTGTGTGTGTGTGTGTGTGTGTGTGTGTGTGTGTGTGTGTGTGTGTGTGTGTGTGTGTGTGTGAGTAGATTCAGTCTTAATGAAGGAACAGTGTCCCTTTACTACATCAACAATGATCCATGGCTAGTAGGTACAATGTTAGTATGCTTGGTATTACGGAATACGCTTTTGCCCTGTAGACGATTTCAGACCAAAAAACAGTGAAGTTCTAAGTTATATATTTTATTTATTTTGTATAACAGATCATTTAACTAGTGTCTATGACTGTTTCCAGTTCTATTAATGATTGCATTGAAGTATATGGTTTTTACATAACTTCAGGGACAGTTGTGTCATTGAACGCCTCCTTGATCAATCCTGGATTCCTCTGTTAAACTTAGGCTATTTCTACTGGCATTTTCTTTCTTTTTTAAAAGTTGTGTTTAATATATTTTATGCCGGAAAAAAGGGTTGCATATCATGATTCTAAACTTGTTTTTTTTTTACTGTAACAGGAACGTTTTCTACTAAGATATACTTAAACTATTTTTGTTTCATGAACTTTGGCGCACCGATTCTCTCCGGGCGACATCATCCCTTCTTAGAGCAACGCGAGGACAAAGAATAACAAAGGAAACATTTAAATCTCAACACAGAGACGTGATAATTGAGAAATAACAAATAAATGCAAAGTTACACAAATCGGCAGTTAATGGGTGTACATGGGAATCTTGTAAAGTGAGTTTGTGCAGAACAATGACTCGGTTGTGCTGGTTTTAGAGCTGCTCGGATCAGTGATCAAGGCGGCCAAAGTGCGCAGGAAAGAGCCGCCTGCTCATTGAAAAACATGGAAGTCAATCCAGGAGTTTCCCCATGGTTTCCCCCTTGCAGGTCACCTGTCAGAATGGAAGGGCTAGCAGCTGCTAACTAGCATCCTGACAGCCGTCCCAAACTCACCTGAAAACCTCTATTTCTGCGTTTAAAACCAACACTAACATTATTTACTGCTCCTACTCACCCGTTCCGTTTCTGCGTCCCTCTTCTGCGCTTCAGCAGGTATAAAACCAGTAGGATACCGCCCGCTATGGAGGAGTTTTTCCCTGTCACATATTTACTGAACGCCGCCATGTTTCTGACACTACGACCGGTTTGGTTTGCTCGAGTTCGCTACAGTTCATCTTCCCTCTTCTTCTCTCGGGTTGAAAGCTGCATAGCAAACAGCTGTAAAGTACATACTGCCACCACGTGTACAGGAGTGGGTAACACACTATTCACCATATTTATATCTAAACCAGGGGTGTCCAAACTTTTTTCACCGAGGCCGGCCACATCCAGAAAAATAAGGGCTAGGCCACTCGCTGGAGGTATTTTGCCTCATAACATAAGTTAAGTTATAAGTTGGAAAAGTCAATCCAATGTACGTAATTATTCTTGATACTTGAAAATGCTGTAAGAATAAATCAGCCTCTATCACAGCTCTCCAGAGGGTTTCATTTATTTTGTTGGCAGCTCATTCCTTAAAACCCTATAAGGCCCACTGTTGTAATTTTACACATGTGTGTGATTATTACAATGTCTAGAACATGTACATGTTTAGTTATTGTGGAATACATTCATCAAATTTGATTTTGAGCCGCTTCTGTCTTTGTTGTAATATTACAACACTGGGTCAGTGTGCTAGTCAAAATAGCACGTGTCCCTGTCATGGAGATTGCTCTTCTTATATGTTCACATATGGAAATAAAACACTAATATAAATATAATGTCTTTGATAATTCACTATAACTCAGTTATAAATGTGTCCTCTGTTAAGATTTTGAATTAAGACCAGAATTGAATAAATTGATACATTATTTCTGATAGCAGTAGGCCTATGTGAAATTATATCTGTATCAATATTTTAAACTCTGCTTGTATCTTATCAGCTAATTAGTTACAAAAATACATTTAACTCTGGTTCTGGCAAAAACAATTTCTGAAATGTTTTGGGACACTTGGGTGTATCCCTTTTAGTATGATAATTAGCCTGTTATCATGAGCCAGACAGCATTGTGTGACTTGTTGAACTGGTTTACCTGCATGTGTGGGTGTAGGTATTGCTTTTATTATGATAATAGGCTAAACCAGGTAGTATTGTGTGACTCAAGTGTACAATGTAAATAGCACTCAGATACTTGTTGCATCGGGACACCTGGAAGGTGGTGCATGCATTCCTTTTAGTATGATAATAGGCTAAGCCAGACAGAATGAACACTTGTCCCACCACTCTATCTAATCCTTCAGGTAATCTATTACAATATAATAAGCATATGTATTATTGATCAATATTTATTAATTACTTTTTCCATTTCAGAATGCCACCAGCAAAGAGAGGTCTTCGATGTGCAGGATGTGGTTGCTGCCCTCCAAAACGGAGAAAGTGGGTGAGAACTGGAATCTCTGGAATGATGTGTGACTTTGATGTGTACCAAGGCAGTGTCGATGGGATACGAGCCAAGTCTCAACTTGGATTGTCAGGTGATGTTGTGATGAAGCTTGCCTCCATGCTTCCAGAAGGTCAGAACTACAAGATCTACGCAGACAACTACTTGTGTCCCATTGGTAGTGACGCTCCTTGATCGTGGGATTCATTATGTGGAAACAGCCAGGCAGGTGCGCTTACCCAACTGTAACCTTGAAGAAAAAAGGGAGAGGAAGCTTTGACATCCGAGTGGAGGCCAACCACAACATCTGTGCTGTCAAATATGACAGCAGAGTGGTCACACTTGTGTCATCCTTTGCTGGAACAGACGCATGAAGTCCCGACGCTGGTACGTGCACATCTTCTGGCACACCATCATCCTTGCTGTGATCAACACCTGGCTCCTACGAGCGGGAGAGCAGAGCTCTAAAGATGCCAAAGCAGGAGATCCTGACCAGAAGACAGTTTCAGGCGGATCTAGCATCCTCTCTCATCCTGGTAAGAATGCATTTCTGGACTTCCGGTTGGACGAACATGTGAGGGCTGCGTTGTCTCGTTCTCCCACGATTTTATTTTCTACATTTAATTTAAAACCACCGAAGTTGAGTTAAACCCGTATTGTGTGAACATAATTTGGACTATAAATCAGAACAAGCCGATGTGATGCCGAAACCTGCGTTGAAAACGGAGACGAAACAGGCAAAAAAGACCGAAACTGCTGTCTCAAGTGCAAGTGAAGTTGCTGGCGCGGACATGGCTAGCATAATTAGCCTGCTTGAAGAGCACAGAGCTAGCATTTCAGCTGATTTCAAAGCTGCCTTTGCGGTACTGGAGGCGAAGCTGAACCAAACGCAGACCACAGTAGCAGAACATGGGGAACAAATAGACTCTCTTGAGACCAATGCCAATCTGCAAGATCAGCGACTCCGTATACTCGAGGAGAAGTGTGCGGTATTAGCAGATAGCAATGCTAAGCTAGCTGCGAAGACCGCAGATCTGGAAGGTCGGAGCCGCAGAAATAACATTAGAATCATTGGACTTCCTGAGTCTATTGAGGGACCCCGGCCTACAACCTTCTTTTCTGAATTTTTGGTGGAGCTGCTAGGCAATAAAACTCTCTCATCCCCTCCCGAGCTGGACCGTGCACACAGAGCGCCGGCTGCTAGGCCGCAGCCAGGGACGAGACCGCGACCTGTGATATTGCGGCTGCATCGCTACCAAGTAAAGGACCTGATTGTCCGGGAGGCCCGCAAGAGACGAGGGGATCTCCGCTACCGTGGGACACCAGTGCAGATCTACGAGGACTTCACACAGGAGGTTCTCGAACAGCGGGCGAAATACCGAGACATCATGTCAAAGCTGTACAACCTAGGCCTCAGACCGGCTCTTCTGTTCCCTGCTCGCCTGCAGATCACACTTGGAAGTGGGGCTAAGAAAAGGTTCCCCTCGCCCCTGGAGGCTGTAGCCTTTGCAGCTGGCTATGAACGCGAGCCGGCTAACTAACCACTGATGTTGTGCTAGGCTAGTGGTGGCTGAGCTAAGCTAGGCTAGGCTAAACCGCGCTGGCGCTGCATTGATGGTGGACTGGGTACGTTACAACCGTTATGTTGGGACACAATTGATTGTATAATCTAACGTTACCTAGCCATGACAGCGCACAATGCGACATGTTGTCTACATTTATTTTTTGTATGATTACATTTGTATATTTACACTATATACCCGGGTGTTTTTTGCACTTTTTCGAATGTCCTTGTTAACTCATGCTGTTCACAATTGTTTCTGGGCACTTTACAGCCGTCGTTCTGTTGGGACGTCATTTATTTTATAACTAACGTTACTCGGCCAAGTCAGCAGACGATGTGACATGTTTACATCTATTTTAATTTAATTGTTTTCATTTTTGTATTTACACTATACCCGGGATGTTCTTGCACTTTTGCAATGTTCTTGTTAACATTTGCTGTTCACAATTGTTACACTTACTAAGGAGGTTGTATCTGCATGATGTGGGTACTGAGACACCTTGAAGAAGGAGAGATGATTCAGGTAGGGAAGTTATTGCCAATTTCATTGTCAGATGGAGCTCAGGGGTGGGGAGGGAGGGGGTCTAGGGCATGGGAGGAGGTGGGAAGGAGTAGAGGATGGGAGGGAGAGGGTGGGGCATTTATCTTGATGGGGCTACAGGTTTCCATTTGTTTGAGGCAGCTGTTTCAATTACATTCTGTTTTGTCATCTTTATGTACACTGTTCTCTCCATTTTTAGTTGTGGATGTTCTAAGGCTGATCTTACACCTTCGATGCTGTATGCAGTGTCATGGCTAATATAACTGGTACAGGGACTGGTGGTGGACAGGCGGTCAGGATACTCTCTTTGAACACTGGTGGGTTGAATGCTTCGGTGAAACGCACAAAGATTATGACACATCTTAAAAACCTGAAGGCGGATATAATGTTTATACAAGAGACACATCTCTGTAAATCTGATCAGCGAAAGCTGAATAGGCCGTGGATTGGACAAATGTTTCATTCACAATTTAACCTAAAGACAAGGGGCACAGCCATTTTAATTCGAAAAAAAGTAAATTTCACCCCTACTAATACAATTTTAGATCCAAATGGACGTTATGTCATCATTTCTGGTACTCTCTATCAGAAGCCGGTCATCTTAGTTTCTGTGTATGCTCCCAATTGGGATGATCATAATTTTGTGAAATCGCTATTCTCCACCATCCCCAATTTGAATTCCCATCTATTGATACTGGGAGGAGATATGAATTGTGTTATAGACCCAACACTAGACAGATCTAGTTCCAGAACTGTGGCGCCCTCTAAAACGGCACAGACTCTCTCTGCTTTTATGGACCACTATGGCTACGTCGACCCGTGGAGATTTTTACACCCCTCGGCTAGGCAATACTCTTTCTTTTCCCATGCACATCGTTCATACTCTCGCATAGATTATTTTATTGTTGATAAAACATTTATTTCGTCGATTGTCTCCGTTCAATACACACCGATAACTGTATCAGATCATTCAACTGTGATCCTGGACCTTCACTTTGATCATAAGCCTAAGGAATTTAGATTCTGGCGTCTTGACCCTCTTTTACTTTCTGATGCAGCCTTTTGTGAGTGTATTTCGGAATCAATTGCATTCTTCTGTGAGACCAACCAAAATGAAGAGACCTCTGCGTCCCTACTCTGGGAAACCCTTAAAGCTTTTCTTAGGGGTAAGATCATCTCGCATACGTCTCATGTTAATAAACTTCGTAGAGCACGCCAAAGAGAACTGGAAGAATCTATCATTAATCTAGACAACCAACTATTTTCCACTCAATCACCTGATCTATCTAAAGAACGGATGGGGCTCCAAACAGAACTTGACCTTCTCCTAACAAGAGAGGCTGAACGACTCCTTCTACACTCACGAGGGTCTATATATGAACATGGCGATAAAGCTGGCCGTCTCCTGGCCCACCAACTAAAGGCTAGGGTGGCCTCGAACCAAATCACCCAGATACGGGACGGGTTGGGCTCTCTCACTTCTGACCCGGGAGAGATTAATAACATCTTTAAAACCTACTACTCTCGTCTCTACACGTCTGAATCCCCTGATAACGAAGATCAGCTACATACATTTTTGGATAAATTGGATATGCCCAAGATTTCGACTAACGACCAACAGACACTAGATGCCAACCTGCAGCTTGCTGAGATTAAAGAGGCAATACAGTCCATGAATAGTGGCAAATCACCGGGACCTGACGG